ATGTTTTTCTGGTCTGAGGTTTGCAAATTCTTTAGCCCCATGCCCCATCCTTTGGGAGTGAGTCACAGTATTATTTATAACCCATAGGCAGTCCACATATTGGTAGAAAGAGAAAACCAATTGCCAGCCATTTCTATGCTATTTTGGTTATAGTAGTAAATTCAGTGACAGTAATGGCATCACTTGTCAACTGGATATTGGCAAACCCTAGAAACCACTCATCCCTTAACTATGACACAGAGGACCATGACTTAAGTGAAGACAATTAGTTTACCCATATATTGACCTATAATTAGTGGTATTTCAGCCCACTAATTTCTACTAGATATAGGCAACAGTGCCAGAGCACAAGCATGCCACTATATTAAGTGTTGCCTTCTCCAGGACAACCTCCTTGGACTATTACACTTACCAAGCCTGGCCTCCTACAATAGAATATACACCTTATGGTCTTCCTGGCCTGAGTCTAGGCCTCCCAGGAGATCCTAGGAGATCTCTGTTTAGCTGTTTCCCTCTCCAAGTCTATCTCCTATGGCTGTCTCTCATGCAGTCTCTGTGATAGTGTAACACTAGAGTCCTGAAGCCAAACTCTCCTTCTGGGTGTTGGTCTTTTCTTTGATCAGGTCTGTTGGCTGTTACCTCTGTTGTCCTGGGATGTGGAGAACCCAGGAGCTGGGCATAGGGCCCAGGTGGGCATCAGCACTAGCTGGGATGTGGCACTTGGTTCCTTGGCCCTCCTGGCTCAGTTCAGTGCCTAGGTGGGCACTGGCATTGGCAGGGAGCAGGGTTCTTTTCTCCTGGGTCATCCTGGATCAGTGCAGGGCCTGGTACTCTTGCTTTGATTTCAAATGCTGTATTATATCTTCTTATATAGAAATTTAATACTCTAAATTATGATATTCTAGGACATTGCAATGCAGCACACCCATATGGATGAGGGCACAGGGAAACTGGGGGGATGTCCATACACAGTGGGGCCCCCAGCAGGAAGTGGGCCATAAATGACAGTGCCACGGGTGAGAGTTTAGCTGTTGTGAAACAAGAAAGGAAGTGGTGCATACAGGGCCATGCCCTGAGGTACAGGAGAAACATCAAGACATTTGGTACAAATCATGTATTCAAGAGGAGGCACACTGCCCCACTTGGAAGGTTCAAGGGAGATTTTCATGGGTGAGGACTCATGTGTACAAGACATCAGCAACAACAGCAGGCAGCATGGAGCACAGCAGAGCACAAGAGCCACCTGTGTCTTTATTATATAATTCTTGTACAGGTTGTTATCACTTATTTATATTCTTACATGCTAGTCTCATTGGTGCATGTGTAGTTGTCCAATGCTAAGTCATGGTTATATAATTATGCCCCATTGTGCACCTGCACTAACAATGGGGTCATGTCCACAGGGCTGTCCAGAAGTGTCCTTACATGCCTCAAGGTTTGACTCAGTCTGAGCAGTTCCCCACATACCACACCCTCAAAGGCTGGGGGAGTGTCACCTCTTGCAAGTGACACATAAAGCTGACCCCTGCACACAAAGACCTGAAAAACTTTCTCTCAATCATAGTTATGATTTGTAGCATTTGTCTTCCTAGTGTCTAAGTAAGATAGAATCCTGCAACAGTGATTATTGAGGCTAATTTGAAATTTCTATAAATTTGCCTCTTGTTTTTACGTACTATGCAGATGTGCTAACTTAAAGTTCCTCTATTGAACATCTTTAGTTTGTCACTTTGAAAAGGTATAAAAGAGTTGTGCAGGGCTATATAATATTGTATCTATACTCTATCTTATTCTGCTAAAGCTATTGTGGAATACACAGTTCTCAGTTATCCACTCATCCCTCTTTACTCTGTAAAATCGAAGTTAGTGACCTTGATAAAAGCTATAATTAATATGAGTGATTCAGATTGCATCAGAATCAACAATAACAGAGAAATACATTGTGTATGTACTTTTGGATTTTAAAAATCACAACTGGGTTTTTTAGTCTCTTAATGAGGAACCCATTTTGTTTATGTGGCTTAAGACTATTGATAGTTACTATATTTAATGTAGTACAACTGAGACATCTCAGCAAATGTTTGATTCACTGGAAGATAACAATGTTGAGTGCATTGCATATTTATATAAATTTTTCATTTTTATTTTATTTATTTTTTTGCCCTATATCTGGTAAGCTGAACAACTAATTTGAACACAACAATATGCAACATAACAACCATTGTTGACTTCCTATCATCTTGTTTGGTGAAACCCTGTATAGTTTATCATTTTTTTCTTTTTTATTGTCTTTAATGGTTTGCTCAATCTTGCATTCTTACATCTGGTAATCTGACCAACTCTGATGAAGATAAAAGTATGTAATATAATAACCACTGTTAATCTTTATCATTTTGTTCTGAAACCCTGTATCATTCTTATTGGTTTTGCTTTTTTTTTGTTTTTGTTTTTGTCTATGTTGTTGGCCATTTGCTATTGTTCTTTTTTCAATTCTCTTTAAAATAAAAAAAAATAAAATTTTTGAGTTTTGAATTTTGTCTTTTCTCTGTGTCTTTTCAGAATTGTAAGCCTGAGTTTGAGAGTGAGAGGAAATGCACAAAGGAAAGTGGCATAAGCATAAATAAGAAGAAGACTGCAAACAGTGAGTAGAAAAGATTATGGATTGAATTACATCAACACACGGAGACTGTGGGAAATAACAAATTATTGTTTTCATCTTAAGACACTAAGTTTTGGGCAGTTTTATTATGCAGTATTGGAAACTAACATAGAGGTACTTTCTGATTATGTTGCAAGATGAATAATTTTCTTTTAAAGGGACAAAGATCAAGCTTCCACCTTAAATTAATTTAAATTTCAAAAATAGTTTAAATTCTTAAAAAGGGGAATCAATTTAAAGAAACATTGAATAAATATGTGAGTGGCACTCTGACAATGGCAAAAAGTAGGCAAATGTCTGAAACTGGACAAATATTTATTTGGTTCAATGATTTTAAAGCATTCTTTATAAAAGCCTAGGATAGATCAATCTATCTATCTATCTACCTGTCTATCTATCTATCATCTATCAATTAACTATCTTCATCTATCTATCTATCTATCTATCTATCTATCTATCATCTGTCATTTACTCTTTACAGAATTTCCTAGGTACAGATTAAATGCTGTAACAAAAAGCCAAAGTAACATTTTAATGGGGCTGAAGTGAGATGAAAAATTTATTTTTCACTTAATAACTCCATGTAAGCAATTCAAGGTTGACTAAGTAGTTCAGCGGCATAAAAGTCCCAAGCTCCTTTCATAGTTTTACTTCTTCTTCCTAGGGTGTTGCCTCTGTTATCTCCAGCCTGAAATGTCCAGAAAGAAATCCTGGCCTTTTCCTTTAGAAGCATAAGGTGGAAGTTGCATACACCACTTCTGCTTTCATGTCATTGGTCAGAGAACTTGGGTACATGGCTCCATTCAGCTATAAGGGAACTAGAAACACAGTCTTTATTCTGGATAGCCACCTGGCTAGATAGAATTCTATTATTATGTTAAGAAGGGAAAATAAATATCAAGGGACTTCTAGGTGCCTTTGAAATGTAACCTTTTGTAAGTCATATGTAGATTGAGCTGTCAAACCAGTAGCAAGCAGTAAGGGCTATCCTTCCAAGCACTCGGAACATCTGAATGTGTTTTCTCCTGGTAGGCAACATGTTCCCAGACTGTGCACACCTGTTGAGGATGTCCCATGGAATTCTTAAGTACCTCCAGCAGCCCCAGGTTCTGTGAACCCTTGCTTTAAGGTGACTTGAATCATTTCCTTCTTTATTTCTTTGGACTGGGAATCAAACTTAGGACCTTGTGCTTGCCAGGCAGGCACTTTTGCTGTTGAGCTATCAGCCCCATCCACTTGAATCATTTCTGAGCACATAACATACTTCATAAGATGGGTGGTTGAATTAAAAGATGTCAGTTTGTCAAGTGCACAGATCAGTGCCTGGCACAAAGAAAACACTTAACAAAAAGAGACTTTTCTGGTAGTATCACAGCATTTCTTAGTCTCAGAAAGAGGAATGTGTGAATAGGCATAAAATGTCAGGTTCCATTTCATGCACTCTATGGAGCCCAAATCACTTTCTATTTCACTTAGACCTAGATTTCCCTGTCTTGTGTCTGCATCTCTAGCTTTTAATCCATTTGTATTTTTCCCATCTGTGTTGTTGGTTTTGGAGAGGGAGAGAGAGAGAGAAAGAGAGAGAGAGAGAGATTCCCCTTGTTTCACTTCTCAGCTATGTCACTTCCTCACTCTGAACCTCCTTTTTTTTCCAGTCTTTTTGAGATAGGGTGTCTCACTATGCAGTTCAGGCTGGCCTGGAACTCACAGTGATCCTCCTGCCTCAGCCTCCCAAGTGCTGGGATTACAGGCGTGCACCACCTCACCCAGCCTGAATCTTCATTTTACTGTAACTCTTTTCTGTGTTTTTTTGATGATCCTATCTCCCTGACTTTTTATTTGAATTTTCTTTTGTTTCTGTCTTCATTGATATTTTCTTGACTCCTTGAAAATGCTTTCTCTGTGTCTCTGTCTGTCTCTGTGTCTCTGTCTGTCTCTGTCTCTTTTTCTTTCATCTCTAGGTCTAATTTTAGCTAAGTGTGCTTCTGTCTCTCTGCATCTCTATTTTCTCTTTGTTTCTCTCAGTTTTGCTCTCTATCTCTGTCACAGGATACTTGGTATGGCCTACCCCATACTTTCTCTGTTGCTCTGTTTTTGGCTCTCTGAAATCATTATTCCTCTTTCATTTGCTTCCCCTTTTTAGTTCAAGTGTTTCCACTCTTAACTTCCTATTTTCGAGGTGAGATGGTGAAAGAGGTGTGTTAAGGCTACTTTTGGTCTTCTTTCTTGTCTGAATGGGAAGACCAGACTTACACCTACCACCATCACACACGCACATACACTGCACCGTAGGACAAACTACTTCGAATGTGTGTGTATGTGTATATGTGTGTGTGTGTGTGTGTGTGTGTGTGTATGTGTGTGTGTGTGTGTGCATTCTGTGTGAAGTATGGAGGATCAGAATAAGAGGGAAAGGAAAAAGTAGAGGGTGAAAAGAGGTAGACTTTTGCTGAGTCTCTACTCTATGCAAGATATTCAGGCAGCTGATCTAAGGCCCAGAAGGTAGTGCATGAACAGTTCAGTCTTCCCAGAATTTCTACCACTCTTCCTGGACACAGGACACCTCAGCTCAGTGGGCCAAATCCAATGATCAAAACCTGCAGATAACCCAACGAGTTCAATTTTCAAGTCTGAGAATGTGGGGAGAATATTTGCTTTTGTTTATTAATATACACAGATAGGATATAATACCCAGGATTTTGTATCAGGAAAGAAAAGGAGATTTGAAGCTATGAGGTTTTAAAAATATTAAGAATCACTTACTTAGATTATTGAGGAAAACACTCACTAGGCAATGTCTCTAGAGGTGATGTTTTCCTCTAGAGACAGAGGCTCCGTTCATTGGTGGTGTCTGCCTTGGGCATAGAAAGCACACACATGCACACACTTACCTACTACATACATACATGTACACAAGGTAAGTTTTGACAAACCAACACAAGTAACATTTGATTATTGCTTAATATTATCTTGAGTAGAATACAAATTGTTATACAAATGCTTTCAACTCATTATTTCTCTTGCTATCCTAAAATTTCATCTTTATTAAAGAACTAAGTAGATGTATCTCCAACTAGAGGATCAACAAGGGAGTCATCTCTGTAACTGATCAAGACTTTCTAAAACAGCATGATTACCCTACTTAAAAATGGGAAAAGGGAGGTCCATAGATCAGATGACTTATCCAATGAAGAAAAACGGAGTTGAAATTTGAACCTAGATTATCTGAATCTTAAATTCAGTAACTGAGCAAGATATACAGCTGCCTCCCACACCTCACAAAAAATGTACAACCAGCGGTTGAACTGAGAGAGAAGTAGGAGTTTAAAATCTGAAGAAATGATAATGGCCTGTGTAGATTTTCCCCGGGTGAATTCAATACTCAGGTGGAGATTATAGGTTACATAACCACCACCAGATAAAGCATTCTCTTTCCTGATGGCAGCAACACTTGGAAAACTAGAATATCAGAGTGTTCACATTTCTGTGTCAGGTGGTCTTCTAGAACTATTTAAGTGAGATCTAGAGCCCAGGACACAATCCTTCGACTTGGAACCATGGAGCTGCAAGGGGCCTTCACCATCTTTTTGGCACTCTGCTTGTCTTGCCTGATCATCCTCATTGCCTGGAAAAGAACCAACAAGGGGGGAAAGCTACCCCCAGGTCCCACACCAATCCCTTTCCTAGGGAACGTGCTCCAAGTAGGCTTTGATGAGACTTATCAATCTTTAATGAAGGTGAGTCTGTCTACCTCTTCTCTTAGGGCTGAAAGCAACTAATCCTATAGCCAGTTGTATTTTTTACTTCTAAAACACAGACTTATGGAAACAGCTTGTAATCTTAGAATTTTAAAACTCCAGTTCTTAAAATCTTGGAAACAAATTCTTAGAGCTTGGAATAAAACTGTCACAATTCCAGGACTTTGGATTCATATCTTTAAGCACAGGGACTTGTACATGGATTGTCTTAGAATTTTGAGGAATTATATCATGAAATCTTAAGATTCTAAAAATTTAGCAGTTTAGAGAAAGCAGTGTGGGTCTTGGATTTCATCTAATCTAGACCCATCATTTTATAGCTGAGGAAACTAAGACTTACAGGTATAGGAGTGATTCTTGTTCAGGATCACAGAAGTCAAGATTTTCATGTCTTCTCCTCAGTAATCCTTCCAAGCAGAGAATTTACCTTTATATGTCCTTCCCGCATTTGTACCCCTGAAGTCTCCACGTTCTTGAGTCCTTGACTGATTTATACATCATACTGCAACGCACCCCCTCCTCTGGTGTTTTTCTTCACTCCCAGCTCTCCAAGAAATATGGTTCAGTGTTCACTATATACATGGGTCCCCGGCCAGTAGTTGTTTTATGTGGATATGATACATTGAAGGAGGCTCTGGTAGACCAAGGAGATGATTTCAGTGGACGTGGAGAAATACCTTCAATAGATCGAAACTTCCAAGGTTATGGTAAGTAATGATGACAACAGTAGAAATGATCAGAAAGGACTAAATTTCCAAATTCTTTACCAAGTCACATATCAGGTAATTTCTAAATGTGTCTTACGATATGATAACTTTTTGTGTAGGTATATTGATACATAAGTGTGAGCTTCTGTGTATACATATTCACATGTCTAGAAAATCCAAGTGGTATACAGAAAACAGACTTAATATCTCCATCCCAGGCATTCTACCCATACCTCCTCCCCCTTTTATGAATTCATGGAGTTATCCACCTAGCTCACTGTTCTGTAAGAAACTCTCCTCAATCTCTCCTGGTCATTCTTAGCCTGATTCTGAGGATCCTTCAGGAGAGAATCTTATTGTCCCCATTCTGGATGTTTGAGAGGTGCTTTCTTTAGAGTAAAAACTTTTCACAGTCCATCTTTGTATAGCACAGACTTGAGTACAGCAGGCGTGGGGGAGGGGCAGGCAGGAGCCTGACATTGAAATCCTGACAGGTGTGGCTATGGCCAGTGGAGAGCGATGGAAGATTCTTCGACGATTTTCCTTGACTATTCTACGGGACTTTGGGATGGGAAAGCGGAGCATTGAGGAACGTATCCAGGAGGAGGCAGGCTTCCTACTGCAGGAACTTCGGAAGACCAAGGGTATGAGGGCCACGTGGGGGAGGGAGAGTAGGTAACTGGTTAGTTATAGAAAGCTTAGTCATGAGATGATGTGCCTTCATGGAAGAAAGTTCTGAACGAGGAAGGACAAAAAATGGTAAGGATTCACTGAGCTTTCCAGCAAATTTCCATATTGAAAATGAACATGGAAAAAAGTCGTTAATCCTTTTGATTACACTTGATTAGAAACTTTAATTGGTGGAGGCTGTGAGCCCATGAAATTTCATGTGGATTTTTAAATTTTATTTTAAAGAGAAAAGAACAAAAACAAAATAACAAAAACAAAGATATAAACAAAACATAAAAACAATACAGAACTTCAGAACAAGGTGATAGGAAATTAATAATGGTTGTTATATTATATATTGCTAGCTTCAAAGTGTTACTCAGATAACCACACATAGGCATGTAAGACTGATCAAACAACTAAACAGTAACTGTTCCTCATAAGTGAAATAAATGAGACTCACATGTGTAAACATTATATTGCCTCCCTAGTATAAGAACCTGAAAGAGTAAATAAAATCTGAAAGATACAATAGATATTGTGAAAAGGAAAGAACAACTGGAATAAGGGAAAAGAGAAAAGAAAAAAAAGGAAAATATGTGTGTGTGTGTATATACACACACACACACAAGATAGCTGAAGTAGTTGTACTACTAATTTCTACTGGTTTATTGAAAGGAACAGTTAATGTTTAGTTGTTTGATCTTAATCAAACAGTTAATGTTTAATTGTATGAGTCTATCTTTTTTTGCAGACAGGATCAAATTTCACTGTGTTTATACATTTTTATTGTGCTATATAAAATAACATGAAATGTACCATCTTCACCATTTTTAAACAAATATTCTGGTAGTGTTAAGTATATTTACCTTATTGTCAAAAAACTCTTTAAAAATTTTTCATCTTGCAACTCTGAAACTCCTTATTGATTTTTATTATATCTTTAAAGGAGACCAGTTTCCCCCAAAAAGTAAGGTCTGGAACTAATGGAGTTTACAGAGAAAAGACACAGGGTCAGGGAAATACAGAAACAAATAGCAAAAATGTAGAAATGGAGATATATTTATTTAAATCAGAAGTCTCTTTTCTAGACTCTATGGATAGTTTACAGGACCTATGTAAAGGCTCTGAATGGCTACATATGCCAGAATTGTTTCTAAAATTATATACTTGTGAGTATGTGCATTGTTCTGGAGAAACTGTTCCTAAATCCACTTAGTGACCAGCATCCCATTTGGCAGATAGTACAACTGAAGCCTAAGGAAGGATTTTCTCAGTCACCCAAATGGAATTATTGGTAGATCTAGGTGGAACCTAGATAGCCTTCTTTTTTTTTTGAAATATATTTGTTACTATTATATTTTATCCCAAATCTGCCCCTCTACCACAAACATATTTAAGTAACACTAACAACAATAATGACTATGTTCCACCAGTATTGCTTGAGTGTTTATTATACATCAGGCACTGTGCTAAGAATTTTACATAGATAATTATATTGAATTTTCATGAACTTGTAAGCTGGGGTTTCTTAACCATTCTGCAGATTGGGCAATGTAGACTCAAACACAAAAACGAAGTAACTTACACATGTTATTACACAGTAGATCTAGTGGTTAAATTCACTACTGAAAGATTCCACACCTTGTATTTCTAACTATGGCCTTCAATTTAGACAATTTCCATCACATAGGTGCCCCCATTGAACCCACCTTCTTCCTGAGCCGCACTGTCTCCAACGTCATCAGTTCTATTGTTTTTGGAAGCCGGTTCGACTATGAGGACAAGCAGTTCCAGGCTTTGCTGCGTATGTTCAATGAATCTTTCATTGAGATGAGCCGCCCCTGGGCACAGGTGACCACTGGTGTTTTCTCTACCCATTAACTAAGCACTTTCCTATATCTCCCTTAATCCTTCCCACAACCCTGGGAGGCAACTGTCAATGTGCAAGAGACTCCAAGAAGCAAAGGTCTATATCCAGTTCTCAGAACCAGCACTGGATTTGGAGCCCAAGTCTCTGATTCCAGATAGCTCACTTGGTCCCTGGCGCCAATCACTGATAAATCTCCTTTGCCTATTCCCCACAGCTCTATGACATGTACTCAGGAATTATGCAGTATTTACCAGGAAAACAAAAGTACCTGTACAACTTGATAGAGGAGCTCAAAGACTTCATTGTACAAAAGGTCAAGATCAACGAAGCATCTTTTGATCCCCAAAACCCTAGGGACTTCATTGACTATTTCCTCATCAAGATGCAGCAGGTACCTGATCTTCTACCTCTAATCCATTTCTCTCAACTCTTCAATCCCTAATGTTTGCAGATTTCAACCCATTTACCAATGTTTGGGGAAAAAGAGCAAATATTATTTCACATGTTTAACTTTTATCAATAGATGAGATATAGAAATTGTGATGCTGTAAACTCTTACACACAAACTGTTTAAGATTGATGAAATAAAACATTTCTTTTTATTAACATTTATCAATTGTATGCATTACTAGGCAATAATTAATGTGTTTTTATACATGCACTCAGTATGCCCTGAATACATGTATACCATTCTCTGGTAATCACTATTCTACTTTTGGGTAGATTTTTAGCTTGTCCGTATAAAAGTGAATTGCAGTATTTGTCCTTCTGTGTCTGGCTTATTGAACTTAACATAATATCCTCCAGGTCCATCCAGTTAGCTGCAAGTTACAGGATTTCCTTCTGCACTATGGCTGAATAATACTCTAGTGTATGTGTATGTGTGTATCTCACATTTTCTAGCTCTAAAACAGACTTTGTTTTTTTGTTTGTTTGTTTGTTTTGGTTTTTCTCCGATACCGGGAACCGAACTCACGACCTTGCACTTGCCAGGCAGGTGCTTTTGCCGCTGAGCTAAATCCCCAGCCCCTAAAACAGACTTTGAATCTAGAAATTTTAGCAAAATGGAAACTTAAAATGTTACAGCTTCCCAATTATTTATGCCAGAGACTTACATTTGCACAAAGGTAGAACAAGCCTTCTAAGAAACTTACCTTAGTCCTTAAATGTGTTAAAAGTTTAAGGCCTTAGAAATATTGATATTTAGAAACTTAATCTATCTGCACCAAGGACTCTTAGAATTTTGAAGATTTAGAAATTTATGTTTTTTATTAGAGAAATTTAGCACTTGGTGATTTAAAATTATACCCCAATTTTCAAACTTTACATGTGATTCTATTTTCTTCTCATCCCATTCTGCTCTTTGTTCACCCATGCCAACCATACTGGCCTCTGCCTTGCTGTTCCTCTAACACACCAGGCACACTCCTGCATCGAGAATTTGCTTTGATTATTTCCTCTCCTGACTTGGTTTACTCATCTATTGTATTTTCACAAATCTCTACCCTAGAGACAGAGAGAACATAAGAAAATAAAGACATAAGAGGGTGATTCTATTTACTATCTCCTTTGCTTTCAGGAAAAAAATAATCCCAACACAGAATTCAACACCCAGAATTTGATCACCACCACTCTCAACCTCTTCTTTGCTGGCACAGAATCAGTGAGCTCTACACTACGTTACGGAATCCTGCTGCTAATGAAGTATCCTGATGTCCAAGGTCAGTGTTCACCACGAACTACTAATCAGTTACCTCTCACTCCTCTCAGGAAGGAAGACATCATGTTGCAAATTATAATCCCACAGCTCTGACTCTTAACCCTTCAGAACTTTAGGATATGTCATATTGAAATGTCTGACACAGGAAGCCACTAATTTAATCTTTGACTTGGTGACTGCATTTGTTTCCTACAGCTGCTGAAACTTAGTATTTTTAAAAACATAGGTTTATTATCTTACAATACTGAGGCCAGATATTCAGAAGGCTTTTGTTAGGCTGAAACCAAGGTTTAGTCTAATTCTTAGCCTTTTCCAGTTTTTAGGGTTGCATTCTTTGTATTCCAGGGTGCAGGACTTTCTCTCTCATTTTCTTTGCTTGTTTTTTGAGACAGGGTCTCACCATGCAGTTCAGGAAAGCTTTGAACTCACTGTGTAGCCCATGCTGGCCTTAAACTCAGCAATGCCCCTGCCTCAGTCTCTTGAGTGCTGGGATTACAGGCATGAGCCACCATGCCTAGCTACATGACTCTTTTTTGCATTTTTAAAACCGGTGGTATAGCATCTTTTCTCTTCTTAAAGCATTTCTTAAATTTCTGCTATGTTTTCTGATCTAGCCAAGGTCTATGAAGAAATTAGCCAGGTAATTGGATCACACCGGGTCCCAAGTATGAATGACCAGTCTAAGATGCCCTACACAGAGGCTGTCATCCATGAGATACTGAGAATGACAAACATTGTGCCCAAGGGTGTTCCACATGTCGTCACCCGGGACACTCATTTCAGAGGATACTTCCTCCCCAAGGTGGGTTTGCACACTTGTGTCCATTCCTTCATTTTTTCCCTCTACTGTTTTTCTTTCCACCGCTTTTATCCAACACTAATTTCCCCCTAATTACTCCCATCTTCATTCCAGGGTACAGATGTGTACCCCTTAATTGGTTCAGCTCTGCAAGAGGCCAAACACTTCCGCTACCCAGATACCTTCTATCCTCAACATTTCTTGGATGAGCAAGGACGCTTCAAGAAGAATGAAGCCTTTATACCCTTTTCTTCTGGTAGGTTTCTGTGCTCTAATTGTCCCCACCACCCAAGTAAGTGCTATAGCCATCTCTTTAAGTCCAAATCAGAATGGAGAAGTTGCAGGCAATGTCATAGAATCACAAAATCCTAAAATTCCAGTATCAGGAGATATTAGAATCACTGACTCTAATACTTAGGGAAAAAAACCTGTTAGAACAGCATAAAGCAAGGGATCAGAAATTTTTCTGTTAGAAAAAGATACAAAATAGTTTAGCTTTTGTTAGCCATATGATCCTTGTCTGAACTATTCATCTCTACCATTGTGCTATGAAAACAGGCATTGACAACAATTAAATGAATTATCTTGTATATAACCCAACAAAATTTACTTATCAACACTGAAATTTGTTTTAATTTCACAGATCAAAAATGGCATTTAAAAATTCTTTTGCAAACATTTAAAAGTATGCAAACCATTTAGAGTTTGGGAATGCCTTGCAAGCAGTAGGGCATATTTACTCCAGTAAGTTCAGGACCCATGATTTTAGAGCAGTGGTGGCAAATTTATGACACATGTGTTAATTGCTTTTTATTTTTAAGACAAAACATGTTAATGTATGAATTGTTTTTTCTAAACTAAAACCTCAGTATTTAGGATTAATTGCAGTGTTGGCACTTTGTGATAAGTGAATGGGTTTGGGGTTGCAGTTCAGGCACTAGTCTCTGCAAGGTTCACCATCACTGTCTTAGAGTAATGGGATTTTAAGTGGAAGCCATGTGGAACTTGGAATCAGAGTAAATTATTTCAGCTCCAATCTGTGAAATGGAGATTAGTCTCTCAATACTTTTGAAAAGTTTCTTAACACACAACAGGCACTATTTAAACATACACTTTCATTTTCTTTTTCTCTCATCAATGTCTGGGAGATAATAAGCATTTGAAAAACCTTTGAGGAATTGAAATGAGGAATTGAAACAGCTTTGAAATTCATGGATCCTTTAGAACCATTTTACCTTGGATTCAGTGGAATCTGAACCATCAAATAAATAGCTGCCATGTGTTGATATCCTCTAAATGCAGATCCTAGATGAAAGCTAATTGTCAGAACTCCCTGAGTCTTGATAATGACCCTATAAAGTAGATATGGTCGTGATCTGAGATGATCAAGCAGCTGTGGCTCAGTGGGGTGGTCAGGTCAGCAAGACCTCACATCTTCTTCATCTTGTAGGTGTGACCCATCTTTCCAACCTTTTCTGTATCCCCAGGAAAGCGTATCTGTCTGGGGGAGAGTTTGGCCCGCATGGAACTCTTCATCTACTTCACCTCCATCATTCAGAGCTTCTCCTTCTGTTCTCTGGTGCCGCCTGCTGAGATTGATATTTCTCCTCAGGCATCAGGCTTTGCCAACATCCCCCCATTTTATAAGATTTGCTTTGTGGCCCGCTGAGTATTCCTTACTATTGGTCAAGAAAAGACTCATTAGAAAGCTGAGCTGTATGGCGCACTCACCTGCTCACTCCCCCAAATTCTCCCAATTGTAATAGAAAGCACTCTTACTACCACAACAGGTCCATAGCTCAAGGAGGGTCAACTGCATGTCCTGTATAGTAAGTAGAAGAGCAATGTGCTGACCATGATTTAGGCAAAAACCTGCATGTTTATAGTTAATTAAATCACCTTTGTTCTGGTTTTTCTCTATCCCAAACTCTTATTTGTCATTAGTTGTTCTTTTGTCTTTGTCCTGGTATTGACGAAAATAAAGTTAAAAATAAATTCCCTTGTGATTTACTTTCACCTTCACCCCCTCCACCTCAAATAAAGTCAAGATGGAAGTCAAGGCTGTTGAATGTAACATTCACTGGATACTGTGCTAGACACTTACTGAGATATAAAATACACCTCTCCTCACTCGCATCTCTTCTGGTAAACTTGCTTTCCTTGTTGCTCTTAACATAACTCCAAATTCTATGTACTCCCAACTCCACTCTGAAAATTGCTCATAGCTGTATTTATTCAATTTCTAAACCTCATTGACTTGCTCAGCTGATGAAAACCACTCACTCCTTAGGTACTTGGGTTACATCATTGAACAAAAGAGAACAAGAACTCCTGCCCTGGTGGAGCCTACATTTTAGTGGGGAAGGTAGATAACAAAGCAAAAACTTTGGTTACCTTATGTAGAAAAGGCTGCTCGCTCCAGAAGGTGATCAATTACCTCACAAAATCAACGGGAATTTTGAAAAAACAGTCTATGAATACAAATAGGAAACATGTGGCTACAACAGGGGAACAGTGGCCAAGGAGATGGTCAGAGCAGTCTGGCAGGGGCTCCTGCACACCCTTTTGGGCATTAAACACCTCACTATCATGAGACTACTGACCATTGCTCTCACTGTAGACTACTTCCTCATTGTGCTTGTGTTTTTGCATTCCATCCTCAAAGTTCAAAGTTCCAGGCAGGATGACCCAACTGGCCAGATTTTAAAAACTTAAAGTACAAGATACAAATAAACACTAGATGAAAAGAGGTCCTCTAAGCTGCTCTTTTAGTTCTCTCTCTCTCTGTCTTCCTCCCTCCCTCCTTCTCTTCCCACCCTCTCTCTCTACCTTTCATTCCATCTCACTCCCTCTCTCTTTTGCTCCCTCATCTCACCTCAAAACAGAAGGGAAAAAGTTCCGTCTGCTTAATGCCATTGTTCCTCTTTGTGAGTGGCTGGGAAATATCCTAAGCCACGCACATTCAAGTGGCCATTTAGGTGATAGTTGATGCTATGCTTGGAATCTGGTAGACTATGTACACAAACCAAGAAGGATCCCACTGCTTTTCCTTTATCTTTTTCTTTCCACCCCCCAGAAGACCTCATTCCCCTTCTTCTTTCTCCTTTCCCACTATGAGGCTTTTGCATGTCAGGAAACTCAAATTCTTTAATTTTTTATAATAGTAATTAGCAGGAGGGATAGGAAGGATGAAGGGAATGAACTGGTGCATGAGTTTTCTCATGGCTCTAGACTACAGTTACTACTGTTCTGCTTGGGTAAGGAGAGAAGGAGCCCTCCTGTGGGTCCCACCTGTGTGGTGATGCTAATCAAAGGGGAAGAGGAAAATAAATTATGGCTGAGCTATTGGATCTACAAAGGCCCAAATCTCACTGGTCTTTCCTCCTCTATGGGCAACAATACCACATAGGAGGAGGAGGGTAAAAGCATGCTGCCTGTGTTTTCTCCTGATATACTGGGACTGAAAGGTGATGGGTGACTCCATGACTTGGTGAGCCTAGCAAGAGTCCACTTTCTCTCTCCTCTTCTCCAATCAGCAGCCCCAAACTGGACTGGGAAGAGTAAAGGGGACAAACAATCCCACTTGACCACATCTTAAAGATGCACGCATGCCAGCAGGGCTGTGTTCAGAACCCCCACTACCTTCTTCCCCCATGCCAATGACAAAAGCTCCAGTTCATCCCTCTGTGACTGTCCATGGTATGTGTGCCATTACCGTTCTTAGTCCTAGAGTCATCTGCTCCAGCTCTACAGTTCCTAACAGTACTCTTCTGGGGTCTCAGTGTGTTGCTCCTCCAATATCAACTTGCTCCCTCTTTCTATCTTGTTTGATTCAGCCTCAACTTGGTCTCCACAACTAAAATTGTATGTTCTCTATTGTTACTCAATGACATCTCCAGATTTTCTTTTAAAAAAATCTCTCCAAAAGTTCTTTAAAGTTCTCCAAAAGTTCTTTAAACAACTTATAGGTCCCTTTGGTATATATATACACATATATATATGTGTGTGTGTGTATATATATATATATATATATATATATATATATACACATATATATGTATATATATATATAAATGTTAACTATGCTATGTTTTGGTTCTGAGTAGTCTAGAATAATTGTTAAAATGAGAAACCAGTCAATATAAATGGAACTAATGTTTATAAATGTTCGTAGCAATGTCTGACTTATCAGTTACTAAATATAAATCCACATATTCTTGGCTTTTAAAGTTTATATGAAGATAATGGATTTGGGGCAGAGGATAAAACTTCCCTCTGCCTGCAAAAGCAGCTGCCTGAACCAATTTGCTTCAGTTTTTCCCAATGATGGTTGGTTTCTTTGATTTTTCTCAGCCTTACTGGGCTCCATCCCAATAGATGTTATTAACATTTTATTTTTATTTTTCATTTTAAAAATTAAAAAAACTAACAAAACAACAATGAAGACAAAATCAAAACAACACAAAAAAACCAAAAATGATACGTGACCTCAAAACAAAATGATAGGAATTAACAATGGTTACATTATATACTGTTATCTTCGAAGCAGTTGTTCAGTCCACCAGACATAAGAATGTAAGATTGATCAAACAATCAAAGACAGTAGCAAGTAATAAAAAGAAAACAGCATTGGAATTGATGCAGAGCTTCACCACTTATACATATTTGTTAGGTATAATTAAAAGTTTTTTGTTTAAAACAATAGTTTTCTTTTTATAAATTTTTATTTCCTGGAAAAAAGATAAAACAAAATTTCATAATAAAATAATAACACAATAATAATAGTTATTACATATTGTTACCTTTAAAGTAGTTGTTCAGGGTACAAGATATGGGCATAAAATTTTCTGCAATTGATATTAGCATAAACCTTCCCTTTTAATGATGTAAGAGACACTAATAGTATAACTGAATTGCATTTTTCCCCTTCCACACTTTCCTTTCCCTTTTCACCCATCCTAGATCCTTTTTCCTTTTGAAAAATTTGTTCCCATTTCATAATATCTGTTGTACATTTTAGACCTCATTCACTCTTTCAATTTCTCACACAAGGGAAAAAACACATTGCTTACTCATGTGAGTCTGGTTTATTTCACTGATGAGTATGGTCTAAAGTTGCATCCATTCAACCATAAAAGTCCCCGTTTATCCTTCTTTATGGCTGAATAGTACAGCACTGTATAAAAATGCTATATCTTTTGAATGCATTCCTCGGTTGATGGGCATTTGTGTTGTTTCCAAGATTTAATTATGACAAATCGTGGTGCCATAAACATGGGTGCCCATATATCACAGTGGTACACTGTTTTTAATTCTGGGAAAATACCCAGAAGGGAAAGAGCTGCACTGAATGGGGCCACTAATCCTAGTTTCTTGAGGAATCTCCACGCTGATTTCCACAGTGGCTGTACCAGTCTACAGTACCATCAACAGTAAAGAATGGTTCTTTTTCACCACAGCTGCCCCAGCATTTGTTATTGGTTGATTTCTTGATGATAGCCATTCTTTCTGGGGTGAGATGGAATCTCAGTGTTGTTTTAATTTGCATTTCTCAAATGACCACTGATGTTGAATATTTTTTCATATATTTACTTACAACTTGTATTTCTTCATCTGAGAAGTGTGTGTTCATCTCAGATGTCCGTTTTTGGATTGGGTCTTGCATTTGGGGAGTCTGTTTTTTTTCAATTCTTTATATGTTCTACATAGAATTCGTTTGTCTAAAGAACAACTGGCTAATTTTTTCCCACTCTGTGAGTTGTCTTTACAATTTTTTGATGATTTCGTTTAAATCTTAACATTAAAAACTCAGTTTCCAAAACTGGTTAAGCCAATAAAGTTGTTTATAGAGTCCATATCTATAATATGTATATTCTCATACCTGAGACTACAGATGTGTATACATCTGAAGATGAAATATGCTGAAAGTCTGAGCTTCTTTTAAGAAGTTTATAATGTTCAGATTATATAAACTTAAGGTATGCAAAGTAGGCAAGAAGCATTTTCTTTTATACAGTATGTATTCATATGGACCTTAGAGATATAAAATGATCAAAATTTTGGCATCTTTGTTCTTTTTATTTGGTAGCATTCAGCCCTGCCACTTAAAACTTGATCTGTATCTGTTGGCTTTGACTAAATAAGCATTTTGTTAATGTATAAATGAGATGCACTTCTATATTAGGGAAAATCTAAAATTAAGTTAACATGTAAAGACTTCTATGTAGCTGTAATACCTACCTCAACACTCAGCACCATAAAATACATATAATATACATTATACATATAATATATATAACATATATATGTACTGTCTGTCTCTCTGCCTTTTTCTCTATAGATAGGTATAGATGATATAGATATATAGACATGAAATAGATATAGATGATAGAGATATAGATGATGATAGATATAGATGATGATAGATATAGATATAGGTACGAGGGACTGTAGAGAATGTTGTGTAAGAAAGCCCACTACACTGCCTGTTGGGCAGAAAGCCCACTACACTGCCTGCACTTAGAGAAGAAATTGAAAATGCACATAGAGAATCTAAATGGACACTTGACCCCTTGGTTATCCAAGCAGCAGTTCACAAATGTCTGGAAGCTAATGGCCACCACTTTGAGCATACCTTGTTATTGTAGAGGCCAAAAGTAACTTGTGTTAGTATCATGATGTCTCAATAAATTTAGTATTAAAATATTTATACGTTTTTCTTTTCCTGAAGTGCATGTACATTTTTGGAGGAATCTGTATATGTATAAAGGTGACAAAATTCCCCTAAACTCTCCCAATTCTCCCAATGCAGATATAAGGGGCACCAATGGAGAGGAAAGCAAACATTAAGTACTAGAGCTTTATGAAATGAGTAAAGAAAACCTAAAGAAATTCAGTGAGTTCAAAGAGGACATGACACAAAAGATGATGCAAATAGCACACAAACTGATCAATATAAATATGGGAGAAACAAATTTAAAAATTGGAATAGCTAA